TTGATGTCTTAGAGAATAACTTTAGATGTCTCTGAGAATAACTTTGACGTCTCTTGGAATAACTTTTGTGGACATGAGAATATCTTTGGATAACTCTGAGATTAACTTTGATAGCTCTGGGAATAACTTTTATGATTTTGAGAACATCTTTGATGTCTTGGAGAACAACATTGATGTTTAGAGAACAACTTTGATGACCAAGATTAACTTTAGATGTCTCTGAGAATAACTTTTATAACATAGAAATTAACTTTAGATGTCTCAGAAAATATCTTTGATGACTTCGAAAATAACATTTGATGACTCTGAGAACAAGTTTGATAGCTCTGAGAATAACTTTAGATGTCTCTGAAAATAACTTTGATGAAAGAAGATGTCTTAGATTAACTTTTGATGACTTTGAAAACAAGTTTGATGAACAAAGATGTTTTGAAAGTTTCTCTGACGAACGAAGGTGACTCTGAGAATAGCTTTGGGTAGCGCTGAGAATAACTTTTGCTGTCTTAGAATAACTTTTGATTGTTCTGAGAATAACTTTAGATATCTCTGAGAATAAGTTTGATGAACGAAGATATCTTACAGAGCAAATTTTATGTTTCGAAGAATAACTTTTTGATGACTCTGGGAATGACTTTGTTGTCTTAGAGAAAAACTTTGATGAATGGAAGTGAGTTAGAGAATAACATAACATGACTGAGAATAACTTTTGATAACTCTTAGAATAACTTTGATGTCTTAGAGAATAACTTGAGATGACTTTGAGAATGTCTTTGGATAACTCTGAGATTAACTTTGATGTCTTTGAAACAACATTGATGAATTGGAGAATGTCTTTGAGAACATGAGTAGTATTTTGTTAGCTCAGAGAATAACTTTTTGATGACATAGAGAATAACTTTGATAGCTCAGAATAACTTTTGAGGACATGAGAATATCTTTGGATAACTCTGAGAATGACTTTTATGCCTCCGAGAATAACTTTGATGAACAAAGATGTTTTGGAAAGTTTCTCTGGCGAACGAAGGTAACTTAGAGATTAACTTTTATGATTTAGAGAACATCTTTGATGTCTTAGAGAACAAGATTGATGTCTTAGAGAACAACTTGGATGAACAAAGATGTCTTAGAAAGCTTCTCTGATGAACGAAAAGATACTTAGAGATTAACTTTGACGACTGTATTTAACTTTTTGATGGCTCTGAGGACAGTTTTTGTTGAACGAGGATGTCTCAGAAGGCTTCTTTGAATAACAAAGGTGACTCTGAGAAAAACTTTGATGACTCTGAGAAAGACTTTGTTGTCTTAAAGAATAACTTTAGATGTCTCTGAGAATAACTTTTATGAACGAAGATGTCTGAGATTAACTTTGACGTCTCTTGGATTAACTTTGTGGACATGAGAATATCTTTGGATAACTCTGAGATTAACTTTGATGTCTTTGAAACAACTTTGATGAACGAGAGTGAGTTAGAGATTACCTTTGTTAACTCTGAGATCAACTTTGATGAACAAAAGTGAGTTAGAGATTACATTTGATAACTCTAAGATTAACTTTAGATGTCTCTGAGACAAACTTTTATAACATAGAAATTAACTTTAATGACCAAAAGTGAGTTAGAGAATACCTTTTGATGACTCCGAGAATAATTTTGATAGCTCTGAGAATGACTTTTGCTGTCTTGGAATAACTTTTGATTGTTCTGAGAATAACTTTTGTTGTCTTGGAATAACTTTTGTTGTCTTGGAATAACTTTTGATTGTTCTGAGAATAACTTTGAGGGCTTAGAGAATGTTTTTGATGAATGGAAGAGTCCCATTGAAGTCTTAAGGATGTCTTTGATGTCTCAAAGGATGTCTTTGAGTGTAACTTTGGTGTCTTTGACTATATTTCTTACTTAACGACATATAATTTTAGTTAGGAACAATGACGAATATGACTATTTTAGCGAAGTGAAAGGCTACTTTAGTTAAGAACAGTGTTGGAAAGAGGCTACACATGACTATTTCAGATGAGAGAAGTGATATTTCAGTTAAGAAATGACAAGGAAACATGATGAAGTAACTATTTTTTAGTTGACTGATGAATACTTTTAGTTATGGAAAAAGAGAAAACATGACGAGGGAGACTATTTTTTGTGCTCCCCAAAGTATAATGTCAGTTAAGAACAGCGATGAAAGATATCTTTGGTTATTTTTCTTACTTGACAAAACATAATTTAGTTAAGCAAAAAGACAAAACATGATGAACATGGCTTTTTCTGTTGATTGATGGATAATTTTAGTTATGAAATGACAATGAAACATGAAGAACACGGTTATTTCTGATGACTGGGGAATAAGTTTAGTTAAGAACAGTGCTGGAAAGATTCCTTTGACAATTTTTCTTACTTAGCGACATATAATTTTAGTTACGAAAGTGTTGAAAAAGTTTCCTTTGACAATTTTTAGCTAAGAGAAAGGTTGTTTTAGTTAAGAACAGTGTTGAACGAGGCTATTTCTGACTATTTTTAGTTGACTGGATAATAAGTTTAGTTGAGAAATGACGAAAGTGACTATGTTTTTAGTTGATTGGTGAAAGATTTTTTTAGTTAAGGAACGTTAGATAACATGTAAGGGGAAAAACCCAGAGAACATATGGGGAACATGGCAAAGAACACATGTAAGAAAAGTTGATGAATACAGTGAACATGCTGGGAATATGAACTTACAGAGAACATGAAAACATGATAAGGAGAATAGGGAATACAACGAAAGAACAATGGACTTGTGAAGAACATGGAGAATATGACAAAGAATGTAGAAAACATGTAAGTGAAGGTGAAAAACGAAGTGATCTTGTGAGGAACATGAACTTGTAGAGGAACATGAATATTGACAAAGAACATAAAAATATGGAAGTTAGCATGAATATTGAGTATAAAAGTTGTAAAGAGAACATGTGATGAACATGAAAACATAGAAAATATGACTAGAATTTGTAGAGAACATAATGAGACTAAGAGAAAGATTACAGAAAAAATGAAGATACTTGTGAAAATATGAACTGAATGGGACTGTGAACATTTGAAGAACATGGAGTGAACACGGATGAGAATACGAAGAACACAACAGAATATAGAGAAAATATGCAAATACAGGGGGACAAGAGCTGGAGCTCTGTAACTGACTTGATCTTATTTACTATGTCTGAAATATGACTGTTTAAAATTTCAGGGGGATTGGACTGCTAGTAGCGAAAATGTGGACTCTGTCAAATTTTCTCAGATTACAGGACACTGATGAAATTTGCTCTCAAAGTAGACTCTGGCGAATTTCTGTTGATAATTGGACTCTGATGAAATATGAGCTTAAAACTGTCTCTGACTAATTTTGCTCTCAAAGTAGACTCTGTTCATTTTTAGGTATAAATTGGACTCTGATGAAATATGAGCTAAATACTGTCTCTGACTAATTTTGCTCACAAAGTAGACTCTGACGAATTTTGCTCTCAAAGTGGACTCTGTTCATTTTTAGGTATAAACTGGACTCTGATGAAATATGAGCTTAAAACTGGGCTCTGTTCAATTTGGTCTTTACAGATGAAATAGCCGTAAATGGATATAAAACTAAATGTTATGGATAAGTTGTCTGTTTTCCTTAACAAAACATCTAAGACAATATTCTCTGAAAATGGTCCTTTTACAAATTCGGTCATAAACATATAAATAAACTTCTATGATTATTTGAAACTCTGAAAATAGTTGTAAGGAAATAGGAGGAGAGAGAGAGAGAGGGACGGTCCAGATATTATTATGGAGAAGATAAGATACGATTACAGAGGTGACCTGAAGGCCGTGTCTGGCTGACGTCTAAAGTAAACACAGGTGATGCGACAGATTGCGAGGTAAGGGGGGAGGGAGGGGGTGTGGTTCAATTACAGGTACACATAAACACACATAGCTTCACGTGTCTGTCGGTCTTGACAATAGTACACATGGATATGCACACAAAACAGTCCGTACTCGTATGACATTATTTTTAATTATAAGAACTTTAACAACTTCTAAAAGTCTGTGACTGACAAAATTTACCTGAAAACCCTGGCTCATAAACATGAATTTGAATTTCTCCCATAAGGCCTTAACAAACTTCTAAGTCTCGGAAATTATTTTTATGATAAGACTCTAACAAACTTCTAAGTCTCGGAAATTATTTTTCTCATAAGAAATCCTTACTTTAAAAATCTGTGACTGACAAAAAAAAAAAAAAATTGCCTGTGGCGCTTACAGTCCACAGGGGTCCTCTCCCCAAAAAAAAAAATTGCCTGTGGCGCTTACATTCCACAGGGGTCCTCTCCCGAAAAAAAAAAAAAGGGCCTGTGGCGCTTACACCCTACTACTTACAACACCACAGTGTGTGTGTGTACAACACCACAGTGTGTGTGTACAACACCACAGTGTGTGTGTACAACACCACAGTGTGTGTGTACATCACCACAGTGTGTGTGTGTACAACACCACAGTGTGTGTGTACAACACCACAGTGTGTGTGTACAACACCACAGTGTGTGTGTACATCACCACAGTGTGTGTGTGTACAACACCACAGTGTGTGTGTGTACAACACCACAGTGTGTGTGTGTACAACACCACAGTGTGTGTGTGTACAACACCACAGTGTGTGTGTACAACACCACAGTGTGTGTGTGTACAACACCACAGTGTGCGTGTACAACACCACAGTGTGTGTGTACAACACCACAGTGTGTGTGTACAACACCACAGTGTGCGTGTACAACACCACAGTGTGTGTGTGTACAACACCACAGTGTGTGTGTACATCACCACAGTGTGTGTGTGTGCACAACACCACAGTGTGTGTGTGTGTACATCACCACAGTGTGTGTGTACAACACCACAGTGTGTGTGTACAACACCACAGTGTGCGTGTACAACGCAATATTCAATATTTACATCCCAGTTGAAACCAAAATAACATATGTTTGTCGCTATAATTAGCAGAGGAGACCGCTAAGGACGCCAGCAACACCACCACGTGATGGCGCGGAGAGGCAGAGACTGGCTCCCTCCTGCACCAAGAGTGGAGGTCTCCTCCTCCTCCAGGAAGTCCCTCAGGATATCCTGGCAGCAGGAAGATGGCGGCTACGATATCACCAAGTACTCAGTGAAGGTGACGGCGCCCAAGAAGAAGACACTCAAGTTTAACTGCCCCGTCACGAGGGACGACCATCACGGGAAGGAACAGGTCCACCATTGTGAGGTAAGATGCTGTAGCCAGGGGAAGAGTGGGGGGTAACGAGACTAACGAGGGGGTGGAACGAGACTAACGAGGGGGTGGAATGAGACTAACGAGGGGGTGGAACGAGACTAATGAGGGGGTGGAACGAGACTAACGAGGGGGTGGAACGAGACTAATGAGGGGGTGGAACGAGACTAACGAGGGGGTGGAACGAGACTAACGAGGGGGTGGAACGAGACTAACGAGGGGTGGAACGAGACTAACGAAGGGGTGGAACGTGACTAACGAGGGGGTGGAACGAGACTAACGAGGGGGTGGAACGAGACTAACGAGGGGGTGGAACGAGACTAACGAGGGGGTGGAACGAGACTAACGAGGGGGTGGAACGAGACTAACGAGGGGGTAGAACGAGACTAACGAGGGGGTGGAACGAGACTAACGAGGGGGTGGAACGAGACTAACGAGGGGGTGGAACGAGACTAACGAGGGGGTGGAACGAGACTAACGAGGGGGTGGAACGTGACTAACGAGGGGGTGGAACGTGACTAACGAGGGGGTGGAACGAGACTAACGAGGGGGTGGAACGTGACTAACGAGGGGGTGGAACGAGACTAACGAGGGTAATGTAACGAGAGAGACGGTGTACTGAGCCGTCTCATTACGGCTGGGGAGAGTGTGTGGGGAATATATATATATATATATATATATATATATATATATATATATATATATATATATATATATATATATATATATATATATATATATATATATATATATATATATATATATATATATATATATATATATATATATATATATATGTCGTACCTAGTAGCCAGAACTCACTTTTTGGTCTACTATTCAAGGCCCGATTTGCCTAATAAGCCAAGTTTTCATGAATTAATTGTTTTTCGACTACCTAACCTACCTAACCTAACCTAACCTAACTTTTTCGGCTACCTAACCAAACCTAACCTATAAAGATAGGTTAGGTTAGGTTAGGTAGGGTTGGTTAGGTTCGGTCATATATCTACGTTAATTTTAACTCCAATAAAAAAAAATTGACCTCATACATAATGAAATGGGTAGCTTTATCATTTCATAAGAAAAAAATTAGAAAAAATATATTAATTCAGGAAAACTTGGCTTATTAGGCAAATCGGGCCTTGAATAGTAGGCCAAAAAGTGAGTTCTGGCTACTAGGTACGACATATATATATATATATATATATATATATATATATATATATATATATATATATATATATATATATATATATATACACACTTCCTTCCCTGAAATCTTATAGTTCTCCAAGCCACTGCCTATTTACTAGGCATTAAAGATCCTTTCCGGAGTCATATAAATATATATATTTATCTAAATGTTTATTACTTGGTACAGCTGAAGGGGCTGTCGCCGCAGACGCATTACAACCTGACGGTGAAGGCGTGCGTGAAGGTGGAGGGGTGCAGCGCGCCCACGGTGCTGCTGGCGTACACTGCCGGCCCCGCCATACACCCCTTCCTCATCGCCCTTATTGTTATATGCCTCCTGCTGGTGGTCGCCTGCTTCGCTGTCAACTACGACGTGCTGCAGGCCCTGTGTTGGTAGGTGGTGTGCGTCGCTCTACGTCAGTCTGGGAGGGGGAGGGGGGTAGGTGGTGTGCGTCGCTCTACGTCAGTGTTGGGGGGTGGGGGGTAGGTGGTGTGCGTCGCTCTACGTCAGTGTTGGGGGGTGGGGGTAGGTGGTGTGCGTCGCTCTACGTCAGTGTTGGGGGGTGGGGGGTAGGTGGTGTGCGTCGCTCTACGTCAGTGTTGGGGGGTGGGGGGTAGGTGGTGTGCGTCGCTCCACGTCAGTGTGGGAGGGGGGGGTAGGTGGTGTGTGTCACTCTACGTCAGTCTGGGAGGGGGGGGGGTAGGTGGTGTGCGTCACTCTACGTCAGTCTGGGAGGGGGGGGTAGGTGGTGTGCGTCGCTCTACGTCAGTCTGGGAGGGGGAGGGGGGTAGGTGGTGTGTCGCTCTACGTCAGTGTTGGGGGGTGGGGGGTAGGTGGTGTGCGTCGCTCTACGTCAGTGTTGGGGGGTGGGGGGTAGGTGGTGTGCGTCGCTCTACGTCAGTGTTGGGGGGTGGGGGGTAGGTGGTGTGCGTCGCTCTACGTCAGTGTTGGGGGGTGGGGGGTAGGTGGTGTGCGTCGCTCTACGTCAGTGTTGGGGGGTGGGGGGTAGGTGGTGTGCGTCGCTCTACGTCAGTGTTGGGGGGTGGGGGGTAGGTGGTGTGCGTCGCTCCACGTCAGTGTGGGAGGGGGGGGTAGGTGGTGTGTGTCACTCTACGTCAGTCTGGGAGGGGGGGGGGTAGGTGGTGTGCGTCACTCTACGTCAGTCTGGGAGGGGGGGGTAGGTGGTGTGCGTCGCTCTACGTCAGTCTGGGAGGGGGAGGGGGGTAGGTGGTGTGTCGCTCTACGTCAGTGTTGGGGGGTGGGGGGTAGGTGGTGTGCGTCGCTCTACGTCAGTGTTGGGGGGTGGGGGGTAGGTGGTGTGCGTCGCTCTACGTCAGTGTTGGGGGGTGGGGGGTAGGTGGTGTGCGTCGCTCTACGTCAGTGTTGGGGGGTGGGGGGTAGGTGGTGTGCGTCGCTCCACGTCAGTGTGGGAGGGGGGGGTAGGTGGTGTGTGTCACTCTACGTCAGTCTGGGAGGGGGGGGGGTAGGTGGTGTGCGTCACTCTACGTCAGTCTGGGAGGGGGGGGGGTAGGTGGTGTGCGTCACTCTACGTCAGTCTGGGAGGGGGTTGTAGGTGGTGTGTCGCTCTACGTCAGTCTGGGGGGGGGGGGGGTGGTAGGTGGTGTGCGTCGCTCCACGTCAGTGTGGGAGGGGGGGGGTAGGTGGTGTGCGTCGCTCTACGTCAGTGTGAGAGGGGGGGGGGTAGGTGGTGTGCGTCGCTCTACGTCAGTGTTGGGGGGTGGGGGGTAGGTGGTGTGCGTCGCTCTACGTCAGTGTTGGGGGGTGGGGGGTAGGTGGTGTGCGTCGCTCTACGTCAGTGTTGGGGGGTGGGGGGTAGGTGGTGTGCGTCGCTCCACGTCAGTGTGGGAGGGGGGGGGTAGGTGGTGTGTGTCACTCTACGTCAGTCTGGGAGGGGGGGGTAGGTGGGGTGCGTCACTCTACGTCAGTCTGGGAGGGGGGGGGTAGGTGGTGTGCGTCACTCTACGTCAGTCTGGGAGGGGGTTGTAGGTGGTGTGTCGCTCTACGTCAGTCTGGGAGGGGGTTGTAGGTGGTGTGCGTCGCTCTACGTCAGTCTGGGGGGGGGGTGGTAGGTGGTGTGCGTCGCTCCACGTCAGTGTGGGAGGGGGGGGGTAGGTGGTGTGCGTCACTCTACGTCAGTCTGGGAGGGGGTTGTAGGTGGTGTGTCGCTCTACGTCAGTCTGGGGGGGGGTGGTAGGTGGTGTGCGTCGCTCCACGTCAGTGTGGGAGGGGGGGGGGTAGGTGGTGTGCGTCGCTCTACGTCAGTGTGGGAGGGGGGGGGTAGGTGGTGTGCGTCGCTCTACGTCAGTGTTGGGGGGTGGGGGGTAGGTGGTGTGCGTCGCTCTACGTCAGTGTTGGGGGGTGGGGGGTAGGTGGTGTGCGTCGCTCTACGTCAGTGTTGGGGGGTGGGGGGTAGGTGGTGTGCGTCGCTCCACGTCAGTGTGGGAGGGGGGGGGGTTAGGTGGTGTGTCACTCTACGTCAGTCTGGGAGGGGGGGGGGTAGGTGGTGTGCGTCACTCTACGTCAGTCTGGGAGGGGGGGGGGGGGTAGGTGGTGTGTGTCACTCTACGTCAGTGTGGGAGGGGGTGGTAGGTGGTGTGCGTCACTCTACGTCAGTGTGGGAGGGTGGGGGGTCGGTGGTGTGCGTCGCTCTACGTCAGTCTGGGAGGGGGGGGGGGGTAGGTGGTGTGCGTCGCTCTACGTCAGTCTGGGGGGGGTAGGTGGTGTGCGTCGCTCTACGTCAGTCTGGGGGGAGGTGCTAGGTGGTGTGCGTCGCTCTACGTCAGTCTGGGGGGGGGTAGGTGGTGTGCGTCGCTCTACGTCAGTCTGGGGGGGGTAGGTGGTGTGCGTCGCTCTACGTCAGTCTGGGGGGAGGTGCTAGGTGGTGTGCGTTGCTCTACGTCAGTCTGGGGGGAGGTGCTAGGTGGTGTGCGTCGCTCTACGTCAGTCTGGGGGGGGGTGGTAGGTGGTGTGCGTCGCTCTACGTCAGTCTGGGGGGGGTGGTAGGTGGTGTGCGTCGCTCTACGTCAGTCTGGGGGGAGGTGCTAGGTGGTGTGCGTTGCTCTACGTCAGTCTGGGGGAGGTGCTAGGTGGTGTGCGTCGCTCTACGTCAGTCTGGGGGGGTGGTAGGTGGTGTGCGTCGCTCTACGTCAGTCTGGGGGGGTGGTAGGTGGTGTGCGTCGCTCTACGTCAGTCTGGGGGGGGGTAGGTGGTGTGCGTCGCTCTACGTCAGTCTGGGGGGAGGTGCTAGGTGGTGTGCGTCGCTCTACGTCAGTCTGGGGGGGTGGTAGGTGGTGTGCGTCGCTCTACGTCAGTCTGGGGGGGTGCTAGGTGGTGTGCGTCGCTCTACGTCAGTCTGGGGGGGGGGTAGGTGGTGTGCGTCGCTCTACGTCAGTCTGGGGGGGGGGTAGGTGGTGTGCGTCGCTCTACGTCAGTCTGGGGGGGTAGGTGGTGTGCGTCGCTCTACGTCAGTCTGGGAGGGGGGGGTAGGTGGTGTGCGTCGCTCTACGTCAGTCTGGGAGGGGGGGTAGGTGGTGTGCGTCACTCTACGTCAGTCTGGGGGAGTACGTAGGTGGTGTGCGTCGCTCTACGTCAGTGTGGGGGGTTGGTAGGTGGTGTGCGTCGCTCTACGTCAGTCTGGGAGGGGGGGGGGTAGGTGGTGTGCGTCGCTCTACGTCAGTGTGGGAGGGGTGGTAGGTGGTGTGCGTCGCTCTACGTCAGTCTGGGAAGGGGGGTAGGTGGTGTGCGTCGCTCTACGTCAGTCTGTGGGGGGGGGGGGGTAGGTGGTGTGTGTCGCTCCACGTCAGTGTGGGAGGGGGGGGTAGGTGGTGTGCGTCGCTCTACGTCAGTGTGGGAGGGGGGGGTAGGTGGTGTGCGTCGCTCTACGTCAGTCTGGGAGGGGGGGGTAGGTGGTGTGCGTCGCTCTACGTCAGTCTGGGAGGGGGGGTAGGTGGTGTGCGTCGCTCTACGTCAGTCTGGGAGGGGGGGTAGGTGGTGTGCGTCGCTCTACGTCAGTCTGGGGGGGGGTAGGTGGTGTGCGTCGCTCTACGTCAGTCTGGGGGGGGGGAAGGTGGTGTGCGTCGCTCTACGTCAGTGTGGGAGGGGGGGTAGGTGGTGTGCGTCGCTCTACGTCAGTCTGGGAGGGGGAGGTAGGTGGTGTGCGTCGCTCTACGTCAGTCTGGGGGGGGGGGGGTAGGTGGTGTGCGTCGCTCTACGTCAGTGTGGGAGGGGGGGGTAGGTGGTGTGCGTCGCTCTACGTCAGTGTGGGAGGGGGGGGTAGGTGGTGTGCGTCGCTCTACGTCAGTCTGGGAGGGGGGTAGGTGGTGTGCGTCGCTCTACGTCAGTCTGGGGGGGGGTAGGTGGTGTGTGTCGCTCTACGTCAGTGTGGGAGGGGGGGGGTTGGTGGTGTGTGTCGCTCTACGTCAGTCTGGGGGGGGGGGGGGGTAGGTGGTGTGTGTCGCTCAACGTCAGTCTGGGAGGGGGGGTTGGTGGTGTGTGTCGCTCTACGTCAGTCTGGGGGGGGGGGGTAGGTGGTGTGTGTCGCTCTACGTCAGTCTGGGGGGGGGGGTAGGTGGTGTGCGTCGCTCTACGTTAGTCTGGGAGGGGGGTGGTAGGTGGTGTGTGTCGCTCTACGTCAGTCTGGGGGGGGGGGTAGGTGGTGTGCGTCGCTCTACGTCAGTCTGGGAGGGGGGGGGTTGGTGGTGTGTGTCGCTCTACGTCAGTCTGGGGGGGGTAGGTGGTGTGTGTCGCTCTACGTCAGTCTGGGGGGGGGGGTAGGTGGTGTGCGTCGCTCTACGTCAGTCTGGGGGGGGGGGGGGGTAGGTGGTGTGCGTCGCTCTACGTCAGTCTGGGGGGGTAGGTGGTGTGCGTCGCTCTACGTCAGTCTGGGAGGGGGTGGTAGGTGGTGTGCGTCGCTCTACGTCAGTCTGGGGGGGGGTAGCTGGTGTGCGTCGCTCTACGTCAGTCTGGGAGGGGGTGGTAGGTGGTGTGCGTCGCTCTACGTCAGTCTGGGGGGTTGGTAGGTGGTGTGCGTCGCTCTACGTCAGTCTGGGAGGGGGTGGTAGGTGGTGTGCGTCTCTCTACGTCAGTCTGGGGGGTTGGTAGGTGGTGTGCGTCGCTCTACGTCAGTCTGGGGGGTTGGTAGGTGGTGTGCGTCGCTCTACGTCAGTCTGGGAAGGGGGGGTAGGTGGTGTGCGTCGCTCTACGCCAGTCTGGGAGGGGGGGGGGGGTAGGTGGTGTGCGTCACTCTACGTCAGTCTGGGAGGGGGTGGTAGGTGGTGTGCGTCGCTCTACGTCAGTCTGGGAGGGGGGGGTAGGTGGTGTGCGTCGCTCTACGTCAGTCTGGGAGGGGGGATAGGTGGTGTGCGTCGCTCTACGTCAGTCTGGGAGGGGGGGGGGGTAGGTGGTGTGCGTCACTCTACGTCAGTCTGGGAGGGGGTGGTAGGTGGTGTGCGTCGCTCTACGTCAGTCTGGGAGGGGGGGGGTGGTAGGTGGTGTGCGTCGCTGTACGTCAGTCTGGGAGGGGGGGTAGGTGGTGTGCGTCGCTCTACGTCAGTCTGGGAGGGGGTGGTAGGTGGTGTGCGTCGCTCTACGTCAGTCTGGGGGGGTGGTAGGTGGTGTGCGTCACTCTACGTCAGTCTGGGAGGGGGGTAGGTGGTGTGCGTCGCTCTACGTCAGTCTGGGAGGGGGGGTAGGTGGTGTGCGTCGCTCTACGTCAGTCTGGGAGGGGGTGGTAGGTGGTGTGCGTCACTCTACGTCAGTCTGGGGGGTGGTAGGTGGTGTGCGTCACTCTACGTCAGTCTGGGAGGGGGGGGTAGGTGGTGTGCGTCGCTCTACGTCAGTCTGGGAGGGGGGGGGGTAGGTGGTGTGCGTCGCTCTACGTCAGTCTGGGAGGGGGTGGTAGGTGGTGTGCGTCGCTCTACGTCAGTCTGGGAGGGGGTGGTAGGTGGTGTGCGTCGCTCTACGTCAGTCTGGGGGGTTGGTAGGTAGTGTGCGTCGCTCTACGTCAGTCTGGGGGGTTGGTAGGTGGTGTGCGTCGCTCTACGTCAGTCTGGGGGGGTAGGTGGTGTGCGTCGCTCTACGTCAGTCTGGGGGGGGTAGGTGGTGTGCGTCGCTCTACGTCAGTCTGGGAGGGGGGGGTAGGTGGTGTACGTCGCTCTACGTCAGTGTGGGAGGGGGGGGTAGGTGGTGTGCGTCGCTCTACGTCAGTCTGGGAGGAGGGGGGGTAGGTGGTGTGCGTCGCTCTACGTCAGTCTGGGGGGGGGGTAGGTGGTGTGCGTCACTCTACGTCAGTGTGGGAGGGGGGGGGTAGGTGGTGTACGTCGCTCTACGTCAGTGTGGGAGGGGGGGGTAGGTGGTGTGCGTCGCTCCACGTCAGTCTGGGAGGGTGGGGTAGGTGGTGTGCGTCGCTCTACGTCAGTCTGGGAGGGGGGGGGGGGTAGGTGGTGTGCGTCACTCTACGTCAGTGTGGGGGGAGTTAGGTAGAGTGCATCGAAAGTGTGTTTTAGATTAGTTAGGGAGTCTGGCGTTTTCTGTGATTGAGAATACGGACTGATTCTCCGTATTCGGATTCTTGATTCGGTTTTAGGGAGAGGCCAAGTTTTATTTTGGTTTGACAAGGGCCGTTGTGTGTATTTTTTTTTTTTAGGTCGAGAGAGGTGAATGTTTATTTTGTTTTAAGGAGCTATGAGAGGAATTTATTTTGATTGAGGAAAAGGATAGCTATGTTTTCATTTCTTGTTTTCATTCTACTCATTATGTTCAATTAGTATTAAGCTTGTCATTTAAGTTTATCATGCCCGAAACGCTTTGCGTAATAGTGGCTTTAGGCATTGTATGTACTAGCTATACCTATAAGTTAAACAATCCTTGTAAATATTTATTGTATGTATGTACCTTACCTAAATAAAATTGTATTGTATTGTATTGTATTGTATTTGGAGAGCGAGAGAGAAAAGTGTGTTTGATACTGATGAAAGTAAATAAGGAGTTATAAAGTGAAAACAACAACATTTCTTAGAAAATATGAAGTCATGGAAAGAAATACGTATGATTAGCAATAAGTTAGAATGTTAACTTAAGAGTGTAACAACTAAACGTAGATGGATAGAGAACATGGAGAGTGTGATGGCTGGATCTGATGTAACAAGGAGCATCTGTGGGATAGAATATAATCAGAAAGCGGCAAGTAAAACACTGTTGAATCTCTAGTGGGAAAGTTGCTAGAACTTTGGAAGTATCTACAAAAATGATTAATTGAAGTGGAGAAAATGAATGGTTTCAATGTCAAGAAATTAGACAGAAGCCTCAGACCACCGAAATTGTGATAGATGGTTGAAAAACAGGTGTAATTGTAACACAGGAAAAATTGTGATAGATGGTTGAAAAACAGGTGTTTTCTCACGGAAGCTGGACCTAGATTCACGAAGCTCCATGTATTTCTTCGTAAGTAATTGTTTTATGGACGTTCTTAAGTACTGGCTAAGAACGTTCTTACATGCGATTCAGGAAGATGTACTTACGAAGTTATTAGCAAGTTTCAAGAAGTCTCGTAAGATGTTACTAGGGCTTTTCGTTTGACCAATTAGAGAGCAGGCAACATTCTTCATCTTAAAGATTTAGCCAATTACGACGCTGGCTTATCGGAGCTCACTTGCCACCTAGTTACGTCAAATTTTCTTATAACATTAGTATATTTCGAAGTAAAACTATGTTTTTTTTTCAACTTCTACAGCCAGCACCGACATTGTAGTAAACAAATATGTTACATTTTTTGTTTACCTACATAATTCTAGGAGATATTGTGTAGCTGTCCTTGTTGCTCGGATGATGCGCTGACAATTATTGTGTGTGTATATATATGTGTATATATATATATATATATATATATATATATATATATATATATATATATATATATATATATATATATATATATATATATATATATATATATATATATATATATATATATATATATATATATACTAGCAGTACCCGGCCACGCGTTGCTGAGCCACAGCCACCCTCCCTTGTCTCCCAGTCCTCCCCACCATTTCCCCTCCTCCGTCCCCTCTTCCTCCCAACCATTCCCCACTCCCCTATCCCCTCGTCCTCCCTACCATTCCCCCCCTACCCCGTCTCTTTGTCCTCCCCACCATTCCCCACTCCCTCGTTCGATGCATTCCCAAATGATCTGATGTTCCCATCAGAAAATTGAGACCTTCAAATGATATGATGTTCCCATCACTGAAATATAAAAAAAAAGTTGGAAAACAAAATAAAAAATATAAAAAATAAGCTATACTCACGAAATGAGCGGTATGGTAAACAACACAGCTCAATTCCAATGCAATGTCACACAAAATAATTAAATCAGAATGAAAGTAAATCGGAATCTATGAAAATTATATTGATCAATGAAATCGAAAACATTGAAATGGAATCGTAACATATTTATTTTAGCGTGTGTTGCTCTTACGTGCAGCAGATGGTGGTGTTTTTTTTTAAAAAAGACTGTTTTTACCACAGGTGTCCCACAGGTGTGGCATCTATACTTATACTTACGAAATTTACGGTATGGTAAAAAAACACAGCTCAATTCCAACACAATGTCAAACAAAATAATTAAATAAAAATTAAAATAAATCGAAGTCTACGAAAATTCAATTTATCAATGCAAATGGAAACATTGAAATGGAATCGTAACATATTTAGTATAGCATGTGTTGCTATTACATGCAACAGATGGCGGTGTTTAAAAAAAAAAGCATGTTTTTACCTGTCACAGGTGTGGCATCTATATAGAAGGTATATAAGAACACAGGCGTATTCGAATGGAACTTTGTGTTAAAATTTCAAAGCAATCGGTAAAGAGGTTTCAAAGATTTCCCTCACATGAAAAACACAGTTTAAAAAAAAAAAAAAGTTTTTCCCGTCACAGACGTGACATCTATATAGTATGTATATAGAAGCCTGCTCGGATACGAATGGAACGTTGTGTGAAAATTTCAAAGCAATCGGTGAAGAACTTTCGGAGATTATCGGTTATGCACAAACGAACATTTCCATTTTTATTTATATAGATTGGAAGGAGGAGTTTACTCATCTGGTAACTAATAATTTGGTAAAGTGTAATTTGTTAATTTCAGTCCTGAGACTGTTGAATTAAGTATTTATTGATAAATTATATGGGTATTAAATTGATTTCTGCTACGTGTCAAACAAATCTCATTTTCAAGAGGAAATTGACACGAGTACAATTTTCTATGAATGAGTAACTAAAATATTAATTTAATTTTAGATAAATATAAATCAGCAGTATTATTATTTTCTGCAAATTGTATTAGAATTTTGTAATGTTGTCGGGAATTTCCAACACCTTCCACACACCACTACTTAACACACAATTCACATAATCATTTTTCCTAACACAATAATGAGTAATATCCCTCCAAACAGCCCGTCGTATGACCGCAAACGATCAGTGGAATATCATTCAACCGGCTCCACAACTCCCCCCTCATCCACCACCCCCACAGCTACCACCTCAACCAGCCACCACGGTAAGGTAGTGTGAAGTTGTCCTAGTGATACGTTGTGTCTCATGTGGCCCACTCAGCTTAGACCGGCTCACTCTTAGATGATTGGGTGCTCATGGTGGGGGAGTGGGTCACCCACCATGAGTGGGTTACTCACCATGAGTGGGTTACTCATCATGAGTGGGTCACCCACCATGAGTGGGTTACTCACCATGAGTGGGTTACTCACCATGAGTGGGTTACTCACTATCATTGGGTTTGTCACTGAAATCATGGCTTGGTGCCCAACTAATTCATCATCGAATTCATCGGCGCTTTTAAGCAAGTTTACCCTAAAAATTAATCAGGACGTATGTCCTAAAATTAATTTGTTCTGTGTTAGTCCTAAGCTCTTCGCTACAAGGGGGACTAAGAGAGACACGCTCGAGATGCCCCTCTGTTTATGATACAAATATTTCGACAGAATTAAAAGGGAGCAATTCCTCCGAATTTAGTGTGAGACATCAAATGGAAAATCATTAATTAACACTCGACAAATACAATGTAACACTAACGAGATAGGTCCATAGTTTTAACACATATTGCTATTGGGTATATGCCCAACATGGTCGGGATGAGGTTGACATAAATGTCACGAGTTCCTAGTGACATACTGCCAAAGTTACCCCCCCCCCCCCGCAACTAATTTTGCAATGTCAAAATAATGAAATTTAGAAATTATTTTTTGTGTTTCTCTTATATTTAGCGTTTGTATATTGTAAAACATTAATTGCCGATTCTGGCAAAATAAAAAAGGATCATATTTTACCTGTAATTAGCCAGGATATGGGACAGCAGGCTGCCTTGGGGCTAGTAGGGGGGGGGGAAGAAGATGAGGCGCAGAGAGAGAGAGAGAGAGAGAGAGAGAGAGAGAGAGAGAGAGAGAGAGAGAGAGAGAGAGAGAGAGTGGGGAGAGAGAAAAATAGGAGAAAGATACTTCACTCACACCCACCCATCACCCTGCAAAGTTTACAAGTTTACAATCTGGCCCTAAGCACCAGGCCTCCAATCGTAGACAGACAACCAAACATAAAAAGCAACTTATTTCATACATATATATTTATATGTTCCAAGGTTGATCTAGCATTTATATGTGCCAGGTTGCTCTGCTATATCCACCAGCAGCTTTTAATAACTATTATGTTATTATAAACAGAAATCACAATAGCGTGATGCATCAAACTCTGGTTTGTGTCTCGGAGAGACTTCAGGAACCGTTGGTAAATCAGGATGATTTCCCAGTTGCAATTCTTTTAACCATGTCGTACCTCAGTCGATTAAGGCTGCGTCTGGGGTCCTCTAATACGTAGGGTCGAACCCTCGTCACGGCCCTTGTGGGTTGGTTTATGTTATTATAAAGTTTTGCAGGAGTATGCAAGCCATAGATCACTAAGAACTCTAAATGACCCGACCAGGATTCGAACCAATGACGTCAAGGATCACCCCTAAACATAGACAGTACCGTGACCACCGCACCATTGATAAATAAATAAATATATATATATATATATATATATATATATATATATATATATATATATATATATATATATATATATATATATAGGTACGATATATATATCGTATCTAGTAGCCAGAACGCAGTTCTTGGCCTACTATGCAAGGCCCGATTTGCGAAATAAGCCAAGTTTTCCAGAATTTCAATATTTTTCTATTTTTTTTTCTCATGAAATGATAAAGCTATTAATTTCATTATGTATGAGCTAATTTTTTTTTTAATTTTAATTAAAACTAACGTAGATATATGACCGGATCTAACTGTCGGGAAACCGACACACACACACAAATAACACAGTCTCCCCTAGTCTATACTCCCTTCAGGATGGAAAATGGGAGACTCCGTGACGTCATCGACTCCGTGACGTCATCAAAGTCATCGTATATTTACATTATGAAACATTGTTAATAGATTAGTTTAGTATCTAAAGTTAATAAAAAAGTAATCACTAAGAATGAATATAATTATTTCCATCAAATAGTAGCTAGGTTCCCTTGTTAATGTAAAATTACTTTGAGTGGAGAACCAGAGCATAAGAGCGTCACCCCGGAGAGGAAGGCGTCCATACTACTAAAAAAATATCAACAAACATGGGATGAGCTTACCACGCTGTCTTAACTGGTGTAAACAGCTAGACACCCCATTTACGTGTCAACACCAGCCACACAGCCTAACAACATCACAACGACATCTGTATCCGTCTACCAAGTATTGTTTATTATTCAAGTGCACTGTTTAATATAAATATGTAGATGGTTATGTCGTAGGACATCCCCAAAAACACCGTACGTGTACCCCATTACCACCCTCACAGTTCATGTCATACCTGTAATTGATATGTTTAGGGAACTTTGATTAATTCCTTGCATCCCATACAGGTAAATTGTGAGAGGAGCTTCAAGAATCTGAGCAGACAGTTGGTTCATACACATAATTAACTACTTGTTTGCCAAGCCTTGTCCTTCCCTCCAGCCGCCATTACGTGGCACAAAGAGGCAGGGCCACACCCATCTTGAGGCTACACCTACACGCCTTACTAGGCCCATTCTACTGGCACAGCTAAGACATTATAGCAGTAGCAGTAGTTATAATTAATTACTTATAATGAAATAACTGAAATAATAGTTTTAAAGGTAAACAATTGGTAGTTTAAGAAGGGACCATAACAAAGTGGTTTAAGCTACCAATTGTCCCTCCCAATAGTGTGTAAGAAGATTTCAGGCAGTTTACCAGTACATACAGTCCACTTAATTAATACTTACTTACTAAGAAAATAAATAAGACATAACTTTATTTTATTAAATCAATTTGAAAAAGAGAGATTAGCTGCCTGGAATTTTTCCCCACATTGTTTGGTCCTACGGAACCGGATTATATTTAGTTCTTTGAACTAGATATTATACATACATATAGTGATAGTGCAATATTACCCACACATTATAGCAGGAAGACACTGCTATATATTTTTTGCATTTTCTAGCCTAACTTTTCAATCTCATAGCAAACAGAACTTACAACAAGCACTATTATTGTTCTGACAGTACCAAAGGAACAATTGTGCTTTTTTCATTTCATTACAAGAGGTTGATAAGAGGCTACTTTACTTATAAGTTACTTATATATGTTTTTTTGTATTATTGCATTATTATTGCCATTGCTGTAACATTTACTGCATGCCACATCATTTACTACTAATTCTTGCACAAGGGTAGAACATTTTAGGCTGGTGTTGTACAGCAACCTAGTCTAATTTATTGTGCTAACCTGGTGTAAGGGTAAGAATTTAACACTTGTCTAGTGTTGAACACATATTACAACCTAGCAAGTACATATTTTTATGCAGTATTTAAGACAATCCGAGTTGTGTTGTCAATATGATATCAATATAACATTAGTACAATTTAACTATAATCATTTCACCTTTGAGTGTTAACCTGTGTCTCTGTACCAACCAAGAGTGATAATGATGGGCTAACTTGCGGATACCAGCATTGATACAGGTCTACCACTCAAATTATAATATAGTCTATACGACTAACAAGTACTTCCAAAATGTCTACTGTCAAAAATGTCCAAATAACCCTCACAGGATTGAGGGATCATTTATCACGGCAGATTAGCACATGTGATGACATAAGTAAACAAACTCCAGTTAACTATGTAGCATTGGAAAATTATCTTAGGCTTGCACGGAACAAATATGACCGTGTGTTGCAACAAATGAAAGAATATCAAGTTTTACTTCAGAATACCAGTGTTGGTGGAGAAACATTACAAGATGTTATACAAGAACATTCCGATTATGAGGATACAATGTTTACACAGTTGCAATACTTTGATGATATCATACATGCCCATAAAGCTAATATAAATATTGTAACCACAACTTCCCAGAAACAGACAGCACCAGAAGTCAAATTGCCATCACTTAGTTTACCAACTTTTTCTGGAAGAGAAGACGAGAGTTGGGACGGTTTCTGGAGCAAATTTGTCGATTCTGTGGATTCTAATGCTAATGTGCCAAAAACAACAAAGTTTACATACTTACAGAGTGTCTTGAAGGATGAAGCGTATCAGGTAGTCTGTAATCTAAATCACACAGATGATGATTATGACAATGCAGTGCAACTCCTGAAAGATAATTACGCTAAACCTGAAAGGACTATCAGAATTCTAACACAGAGACTGTTAGACATTAAACCTCCAAATAATACTGCAGTCTCACTCCAAACCTTCAGATTGGAGCTTGAGTCCATACTCAAGGCACTTAAAAATAAAGTGAACCTGGATGAGTCAGACTGGATAATACAAGTCCACATGACACGGAAATTACCCAGGGACATACTGGATAAGTTGTTTGTATTAGTAGGTAAGTCATCCTTGACTGTAAATGAGATTACAAAGGGTTTACAAACCATCATAGAACGAGAAAGAGTTAATCCAGAAGAAAAACCATCTAAACCCACATCTGCTACTAATAGTAAACAACAGAGTACAAACAGTGCTCCAAACAAAGCTAAAACATCTTCCCCCTCCACAAAGTGGAATCAGGGCAGTGTAGGAACATATGCAGTTGGTCCTTCCAAACCTACAGTCAACGCATCACCCAAGACGGTGACTCCTCAAGATACTGTTAATGTCTGGAAACCATGTGTGTTTTGTGAGCAATCACATTCCATGTACAATTGCAGACGCTACCCTGATCGTGCAACACGCATAAAACGACTCAAGGAGTTATATAGATGTAGCAAGTGTATAAGGGAACATCATCCCGACAATTGCACAACAGCAATGCGCATCTGCACTAAGTGCCATAAGGGTCAACACCATACTGCACTTTGTGGGGACACAAGTATAAAGTCTCCCAAACCACAAGAGGAGGAAGGAGCTACAACATCAGTAAAACTTTGTACTGTGTTACCTGACATAAGTGTCTTCACAACCAGGTCTAACCATAAATCAGCTC